TTTTCTGTCATTGATCCTTCGTTTCCAAATACATTTAATTTGAATTTTGGTTGCTCTCAAGAACATCCAAATACTCAATACTATGAAAACTCTTAGTTCTTTTCGAATGCCAATCAAGCCTCTGAAAATTTTCAAACCTCACAAAACATTGAAAAACAACCACGAGGCAATAAATGGGATGTTGTTGAAGATATCGCTTTAATGTCATCCTGGTATATTGCTAGTCAAAACAAGACTCGTGGTAAAAACCATAAAAAAGTATCATTATGGGCACGAGTAAGTGAACTATATGTCGAAGCTTAAGCTGAAAATGCAGGAAAGACTGGTAACAGAAATGAAGATCAAATGAGAGTTCATTGTAAACGGCTTAGCGAAAATCCCCAAAAAGTGGGTTGGTGCCGAAGCATGTCGTCGAAAAAGAAGTGGAATGAGCGAGAAATATATTGAAAATGAAGCTCATAAATATTATGAGGCAAATGGGAACGACAAGTTTAACGATTTAGTTGTTTTTAATGAAGTTATGTGTAAAATTCCGAAGTGGGCTTTACAGAAAGATCGCGGCACGACACATTCACATCTTGCGTGTGAGGAGGATAATGAAGAAAGTGGTGGCAACACAAAAAGATCAAGGACTACTGAAGAATTGGACTACCTAAACCCCGAGATGCCAAGTAGTGGTGGTACAACAACTCAACGTCTAATGGGTAGAGATACGGCTAAAAGAACAGGAAAAGGTAAGGTTTCTAATAAAATTGTTGAAGAACTTCGTGCAATGAGACTTAGTAGAGATACTAAAGTTACAGTCATGAAAAAAAACTCGACGTGGATCAATAAAGGGAGCAAACAATCACTGATAGAGAGCTAATGAAAATGCAACATGTGCATCTCAACACATTGTTAGAAAAGGAGCACTTGTCGCCTGAAGACGAAAACATGAAACGTTTTCTAAGGGCGAAGTATTATGGAAACTAAAAGTAACTCAGCATATGGTATATTTCCAGTATGTTTTAATGTATCTGTAAGATATTTCATTATTGTACTTTGTATTTCCTGTATTTATACGATATTACATTATGTACTTTGTATTTCATATATTTGTAACGTTTATGTATTTTTGTATTTCACATATTTGTAAGATATTTAATTATGTAGTTTTTTTTTACATATTACTTTATAAGTATTTTTGTTATTTATATTTTTTCAAAAAAAAAGGAAGTATAATATTCACTTACAAGATAAAAGGCACACATTTCCACTTAGGATAAAAGGCACACATTTTTTGAAAAATAATTGGACAAAAAGCTTCAATTCATCCGTATAGGTTCCTCCATATAGTGTCCATTTGAGAAATGGCACACACCTCAAAGGATAAAAAAATATTGTTATCTAAATTTAAAAATAAAAAAATAAATACTTTTCTTGTATAAATAGATTGTAAAATGGACATATTTTAATATTAAACACCTACTTTTCATTTCCTACATTCATCGAAATGTCTGATAATGAAAACTCAGCATTCAGTTCTGAATCATCTAATATGAATGAATATGATGAATGGCCAACACGATCTACTCAGCAAAATCGACAAGCTGATGACATTGTTACTAAATTACTCATAAGCATGCCAAATATGCTCATAGGAGATCATCCTCCTAGAGCAAGAAGGAGGTATCGTGATCGACAACGTGAGCATGGTGAGACACGTTTGATGGAAGACTACTTTGTTGACAACCCGATATATGACGAAGTAATCATCCGACGTAGATTTTGAATGCGAAAACATCTATTCCTCCGTATAGTGTCCACTATCACATCCAATGACATATTTTCAACAAAGACGTGATGCCACCGGTAGAAGACGTCTTTCACAGTTACAAAAATGTATGGGATCTATGTGTGTGTTGGTGTATGGTACATCAAAAGATGCACATGATGAATATTTAAGAATGAGTGAAACTGTAACACGAGATGCTCTTATACATTTCGTGGAAGGTGTCATTTCATGCTTTGGTGAAGAGTATCTTAGAAGGCCAAACCAAGATATTTGGCAAGACTACTCTATGTCGGGGAGGAGCGTGGATTTCTAGGTATGGTAGAAAGCATTGACTGCATGCATTGGGAGTGGAAAAATTGTCCCGCCGCTTGGGCTGGACAATATGTAGGTAAAACAACAATCATTTGGGAAGTTGTTGCATCGTATGACTTAAAGATATGGCATGCATTTTTCGGAACACCAGGTTTGTGCAATGATATTAATGTACTCCATCGCTCTCCTATTTTTAGTGATGTATTGGCAGGTCAAGCACCAAATGTGAGTTACGTTGTGAATGGTCGGGAAAGTAATATGACATATTATCTCACTGATGACATTTATCCTTCAGGGGCTGCCTTTGTCAAGTCAATAACTGCTCCACAAATCCGAAAACACAAGTTGTTTGCTGAACGTCAAGAGTTTGTCAAAAAAGATGTTGAACGAGCATTTGGAGTTTTACAAGCCCGTTTTGCATTTCTTAAACGTCCATGTCTAGTGTGGGACAAAGATGTTATGGGTAAAATCATGATTGCTTGTATCATTATTCATAATATGATCGTTGAGGATGAACGAAACACATACCTTCGCTATTATGATCCAACCAAATTTCTAAATGACATACCTGCAAACCAACAAAAAAGCAGTTCTACTCAAGATAATGAACAACTTTTTCAATACTCTACCGAACGAATTGCAAGCTTATCCAGTTATATGACCAATAACCAATAGGGAACAACTTCGTGATAGAAACGCTCATATCGCTCTAAAAACGATTTGATTGAGCACATATGGAGAAGATTTACAAGTTACAAATAATATGTATTTTGTACCTTCTAAATATGTAACTTTATTTATCATGTTACATTTGTAACTTGATTTATCATTTTTATTAAGCATGTTTGACAAATGTTATATATTTTTATTTCTATTTTTTTAATATTTTTATATCTTAAATAAATAAATTATATGTTTCTAAAAATAACAATACTTTTAATAAGTTTTATTTGAATAAAAAAAATATAAGTTATATTTATTTAATAAAAAAATGATTTCTGTTTGGTTGTTAATGGGAGTGAAAGTTTGGATTTAATTGGGTTGTGTAAGTGAAGGAAAGAGAAATTAGTTTTTTAACGAATAGGGATAGTCTAATGTACGTTGGGTTGGATCGTAAATAGGGATAGTCTAATGTAAACATGTATCTTTATATATTAACATCAACCTTGATTCCGTTTTTATCATTTAGCAAATTAGTGTATTCAGGTGTGTATTATTATATGTACCTCCGAACTTGTATTGAGCTTAACCTAAATTCCAGTCCGTTTTCTATAGATCTAAATTACATAAAATGTGATGACACCAAAATTCATCGTATATATAAATAACTCGAATTACAACTTTTTATAGAAGAATCTTGAAAGAGGAATATTTGTCTTGCTTAAAGTAAATGTAGGAAACAAGAGCCGTACAAATTTACATAAATCCACTACCAAGTCACAATTGTTTTTAATAGCGGAATCACATTAAAACGAAACTAACGCGACGCTAGATAAGTTACAACATACAAACAAGGGAAACATGAGAATTACACCAGTCAAACCAATTTAAAGAACTAAACCTCCCTCTATATTTCAACCAATTTAAAGAGATTAACTGGATATTATCGGATGTCTTCATTGGGCTGCTCCTGAAACTTTTGAAAATTAAAGCATTTCTAGTCTTCCATATGCTCCATAAAACCAAATATATGAGGGCCCATAGCAATCTCTTCGTTTTCTTATTCAACACCAAACATTTCTAGTCTTCCATATCCTTTTCTTATTTAACACGATTAATATGTTTAACGCCTCTGATTTTGAAATTGAAATCGGAGGATGGGAACGATATCAAGTGATGACAACAAGTAAGGATGTCCAAAGCAAGAAACTGAATCTAAAATATAATACAACTGGTTTTTGTTTTAGAAACATAACCCAACTTTATTTTAAAGGGTAATAACACAAATGCCCTACAAAGTTTTTAGGGTTGGTCGATTCAGTTCCTAAATTAATTTAATGGCTTTATGAGGGTATAAAGTAGGTTACAACCTATTTTTTAACCTTTAATAACCGGTACACCATATGTAAGTGACCATTTAGAAGAAGAAGAAAAAAAAAAAAAAAAACTCATATTATGCCTTTATAAAGCCCAAAAAAATAAGTTTGGGGATTATTTAAACAAAAACACACGAAATCGACTTCAATAGACACTTCCGTCCTCGATGGGAACCCCAACTCATCGGTGAGTATTGCTTCCTCCCGGTGAGTTGGTTTTCCCATAAAGGACAAAAATGTCGATTGAAGTCGATTTCGTGAGTTTTAGTTTAAATGATACCCGAACTTGTTTTTTTTGGCTTTAGAGGGGCATAATGTGAGGGGTTTTTTTTTGTATAAATGGCCACTGTCGCATGGTGTACCGGTTATTAAAGGTTGAAAGGGACTAAAAGAGCAGGTTGTAACCAACCTTATACCCTCATAAAGCTAGAAAATAACTGTAGGAACTGAATCGACCAACCTTAAAAATTTTATAGGGCATTTGTGTCATTTCCCTTAATTTTAATAAGACATGTTTTTATCATATCTTTAATTCTTTACTTGATTACTTGTTTAAGTAATTTTAGTTACCGTTATATTTAATGCTATTGTGTATTACTAAACTCAATAAATATTTTCTTTAAATATTTTATGGATTCGGACTACTTTCATGGTTTTTGACTTCAAAATAACTTAGTTCATTTTCGGTTGGTTTGCAGATTAAGGCAAAAACCGAACCATATTCACCCTTAGCACAAACAACTTGAACTATATAACTGGTATCTATATGGATTGACGAATCTATTACAGAAAGCTAATGTCTTGACCAAACCTATGACGTATGGAGCACTCGAATATTAGAACAAACTTGTCAAGAACACATAGAAACCAACTGTTAACTACGGAGAACCACACGATGTACAATTACAGGTCCTGGGAACAAAACCGCAAACACCAAAAGGCTTGTTGGGAAGTTGGCAATCAATTCCAAAGCAACATGGCATGTTTGAGCATGTTGTTGGATCGGAGACATTCATGCAGCATTTGCACTCCAAACACACTTGAAACGCACTGAGTTTCCCCATAGGACGATCATCAACAGTTCCCGGTTGCATCAAAGGCCGGTATTCAGTTATTCCCTCTCCGACCTCAAACTCCTCAATCCCAATATCTTCATGAAATCCTACAGTATAATATGAAAAAAAACATGGTAAACAACACCATCTGATCAATCCACGCTAAACCCATCCCAAGGACCATCACTTGGACGGTCAATTGTGAAACACTAGCTAGTAATATTTTGAGCTTATCAGGGTTTGACCCTGAACATCCTGTATAGAATTTCACACCTCAAGTACTGCTAGTTTTATGGCGTGAGGACAAAGTATAATAACATTGTATTAATTTTTATCAGGAAATTATATTTTGAAAAATCTACCCGTTGTTTGTAGCAGTAAAATTTGTTTTGTATTGAGATAACATTTCTATAATTTGGTAGATTTTTTAAAATATTATATTGTAAAAGGAAAGAAATTAAAATTTGGATGCTACAATAAACAAATAAATAAAAGGTTATTTCTTCTATTTAACTTATATTTGAAAGTATAAAGAAAGATTAACATTTTCGTAAGTAGTAAGATGACTTGCCTGAAGCTTTGCTTATCAAAAGAACTAGTAACAGGAGGATGTTGGCAGGTTTTCTTGCCATGCGATTCGAGAGAGATTTGTGAACGAATTGTGTGGTGAAAACTGGAAAATAAAGGTTGAGGGAAGGGATCTTGTAAACATAAATAAAGTGGTTAATATTCTTATTCTTGATATTAGACATGAGACATGAGAATAAAGTGGATTTCGAGGAACAATCCACATGCCAGTCAAAGAGATTTAGCAACGCATAAAGGGGCTGGTAAAATCCCTCTTTATATTGTTCTTAAACAAATTATAAACTATGACAAGCATAACTATAAACGGAATCTATGTATGATATGAAAAGAAAATATTGAAAATGGAGATGGAATCATGCTCTTACGACTAAGGTTGTGTTTTGTTATCGTACGTAACACACAATTGGAATGGCAAGCTTATAAGGGTTATTTTTTATAATAAGGATTCTCTACGGAAGACATTCATGTCTTTTATTTGAATGGATCGAAAGCAACTCCAAAACTAAACTCTTTCTGGATTTCTTCGTCTGTATAAAGATATAAATGATCTCCTTATCGAGTGTCCCTAGAAAGCTTGTCGGACATGAAACATTTGTATTATGTTTGTTATACAGGACAAGACTACAACGAAAACAACTGACTAGACAACTTTTCTTGAACTATATCAAATGGTATGAGGATGAAAAGGTATTTGTGTATTTAGCATAGGCGCTAGATTGGGAGTGAATCCATATCCCATCTTGTTCCACCTTTTTGAATGAGACAAAAATTTACAATATTTTTCTCGTTGACATTAATCAGAGTCTCAATAGAATGAAGTACAATAAGGCCATCCTATTCTTACTTGTCTACCTTTTTTTTTATCACAGCTCAAAGGTGACCTGTGCTTTCATGTATGGTATATATGTATTCGATATTGGTTGGTTCGGTATGGTTTAGGTTCAGTGTAATTCGGTTCTATGAAATGACCATTGTGGAACGAATTAAGAAAGAAGCTGATTTAGTTTTTGAAATATCGGATCTTGTGAACAATTGGCCGTGAAGCTTATTTTGGCAGTCCACTTCTGATTTTTCGCAGTCCATTTCTGTTATTTGGCAGCCCATTTATGTTTGGCAGCTGTGAACAATACCCCAAGAAGCATAGATGATTTTTGACGTAACAAACCAAAATACCAAATTCCGAATTTTTGGACAGTGGAGTCGAGTACCACAACGTATATATATGTATTTGGTTTGATATCAGTTCGGGTTCAGGTCTGATTGCTTACTTTAGTCATATTGCTTAAATTTTGGAACTAGAAAAATTTAGGAATCAACAAAAGAATGAAAGAAAAGATATTTGGTTATATGCCAAAAGAAGACATCCCTTTATTACCTATAAAGAAAACTTTATGTAATCGAAGAAAAAAGAATATTTCAATACCATTTTTATTAGTGTTGCTCATAATTAGGATAATATATGAATATATTATTCTCCAATATTTTGTAATTAGGAATATATTATTATTCTCCATATTTTGTAATTAGGATGGAGAAAAAGAGAATTCAATTTTATCTTTTTTGGTGGAAGATTCCTTATTCTTCCCATCGAGCTAGTTTTTCGTCCGCTATCTAGGCCGACGTTCATTCTAAGACTTTCACCAGTAAAGGCACCAAAAATACATATTTTCTCTTATTGACATTGGTGTCACTCCAAGTTCAATACATGCCAAACATTTTATCGTAATGTTATGTCATAAATAATAAACGAATCTAATTGTTTAGTTTTTCCACATTCAATCCTAATTGTTTAGTACATATCCTTCATCTTTTCGCATCCTTGCGTTAACCGAGCAACATCTAACATCTCCTTTAGGCCCGCAAGCGATTAAACTCTTCTAGTTGCATGTGATTATTCATTCAAAGAAACTTCATTCATGATCCGATCTATATGAAGTCCAACAATTTTTCTATCCCTCATTGAAGAACAAACCAAAGTTGGGTTCCATCCTCGTAAAATGTAGTTTAAGGTTTGAACTATAGAATTTAGAAACCTTTTTTCCCTTGATTTTGTTGTCATCTGCAATTAGATCTCATAGCCTTCGTGGGTTTATATTATTTGATTTTAGCTCTCAATCAATGCAAGGTAAAGATTGACATCTAAAAAAGTCTAGAGATTTACTTAAAAGTGTATATTACAATAAGGAGGAAAGAGATATATAACTAACAGCTAGAGAAACATATTTAAATAAAAAAAAACCATTCTAGACCTAAGTTGATAATGAAAATATACTAAATATATGGTGACTTTCCCCTCAATACAATCGATTAATTTACTTGTGATTTGCATGGTTATCATCCCAATAACATCACTGTAAGCTTGTAGCTCGAAAAAAGACAAATGAAAACAATAAACTCTAAAACTAACTGTGTGACAAATATATAAGACAAAATATATAAGAATGAGAAGAATTACAGCCCAATAATGTTAGTATAGTAAATGGAAACTAACAACCACATAAACGATATGCATTATGAATGGACAAGTAACTATGAGATAAACCAAATTGCCAATAATTTTATTGTACAAGCTATGATCACAAAAGAACACTATCAGACGGTGAGTAAGAGCATTGGTTTTAAGAGTGGTATCAGGAATATTGTTGTCAGTAAGGCGTACATGTTCAAACAAATTAGATATATACTTTGAATGAGATAATAAATAACCTTTTACGAATATGAAATTTTAGAAAGTAATGTAGTATCTCCTAAGTTTGTTATTACACAAAGATGAATCAAATCATGCTTTAAGGATTCAATACCAACATAATAATCACACCAACATAATAATCACATACGCTTTGTCATCTACATACAAGGATAAGATGATTTGACGTGCACTTTTACATTTGGTAAAATAAATCACAATTAGTAAGAAATATATGAAAGATACATAATAGCTATGTCAAATTGTTGGATTCACAACAAGATCCTATCATATCAATGTTGGTTATTTTCATAACCAAATCATAAAATGCGGAAGCTTTAGATCTTAATCTCTCGAATCTGTCAAAAGAAAACTTTAAACCTGAAAGAACGATTACATATCTTGTTCCATTGAGATTTTCGGATCTAGAGACTAGGAAGAGTTTTCCAGTTGATCTCAAGAACTCCCTCTAAAATCCCTCCGCAATGAACCATACGAATTTCTTAGTGTATTTTCGTGTGTCTTGATTGCTCCTCATCACATGTATATATAGATGGAGATATACCCTAAAGTGAGAGATGGAAAAGATCTTGAGGATCTTGAGTCAAACCGGGAACTCAACCCACAAGGTAAGTAAATATTCTATAAATCGGTCCATCAACAATTTATACTCTTACCATAATAACAAGGATTTAATAATATATCGTACATATTTATGAAGTGGTCCCATAATTATCCAACAATCTCCTACTGGATCACGAATATATAAATGTACGTATAACTGTATAAGCGCTTTAATGAATGTTATTATAACATTGGTACCCTTAAACAATCTCGTCCACTAATCATAATAGTATAGGATCAAAGCGGCCTTCGTTACAATTTACGTAACTAAACCTATCAATGGTCACAGATACATATATAACTAACGACATAGATTAAACATGATGTGTGGTTTTAAAATCTAAATAGATTTCCAACGAGTTCCTCTTTAGATTGAAGTGAGATCAAACTTCAAATAAGTGCAACTAATAATGGAGTTAACCGAATTCTTAATTTTGTACAGAAAAACATAATTGTTGTTAAACAACACATAAAGTGCCATAAAACTCCCACTAAAACCAAATATCACACCAACGTGTGTAGTATGCTCATGAAAGACCTAGGGAGGTAATCCCTTTATGAGCGGATCCGCTTTCATGGAGTTTGTTCATATGTGCTATATATATTTCCATTTTGCACTATTGTGTTAACAGAAGGAAACTTGATGTCAATATGCTTTGACTTAATAGAACTTTTGTTGTTGGAATATAACATTGCTGACTTATTATCACAACTTAAGTGGTCTTTCAATACCAATAATGTGTAGCCTCGTGACAAATTTCCGCAACCATATTTCATGCTACAAATTATGCTGCCATTATGGAAGAAGCTACCGAAGTATATTCCATGAAATGGTTTATCATGCTAAAATGTAAAAGTATCCTGATATGGATCAGTAACCATTTTGGCATTTAATAAATTCTTAATAAAAATGATCTCCAAAACATTTGATTTCCTATAGTTGGGCATATAGACTTTTGTTATATATAGATATCTCAAATCCATTTGGTTGCTTTCTTATGATCCAAACTTGAGTTGCATAGATATCTAGCAAAAACCAAAAAGATAAATTTACTCCCACTTAATCTGTGATACACAAAATCATCTATTGTATTTACCTCAAAACAAAAAGAGATAAAAAAAAATTTGATGAAAAATGTGGTACCACGCATAGGATATCCAAAGTTGAGGTTGTTGAGTTTGTGTATTCTGAATAGGAGAATGGATAACATTGTCGATCACTTTTCCATAATTTGCATACTATCGAAAGCAATAATAGGAATCAAAGTTGATTCCTCCTTAAAGACAATGTTTTAACCTTGTTTCTCCCCCAAACTCAACATCCTCAAAAAATGTTGCTCTATCCAAAATGCAAGGTCAATGTCCATGCAATCGAGAACTAACATAATGCCCTCATTTCATTCCTTAAATTTAATCTCATTGATTACATGAATCATAAATGTGATCAATGTTAGCAGATATAATACCATAATTAAAACATGAGCAAATCTATTTTTTATGCTCATTAATCCATAAACTGTAATCAATAAATTCAATTTATAACATTTTTATAAGGTATCAACACAACATTAATATCAAGTCTTTGGACAGTAATACTAATTTGCAAGAGATATCCTTATTTTAGAGATAAACATTGACAATAAATCATGTCAATTAACAAGCCCCTCTTTGGATTGACTTATTAATCACATGGAACCAAAAAAATCGTCACATGTTTATCACCACATATATGTT